ATGCCCGCGTCACTATAAATGCCGCACCCTGTATATATATATACACATATGTATATACATATATCGATAACGGAGATTCTGTGTCGGCGCCTTGCAGCAGGAAAACAAACGAGTACAATATAATTACGGAGTACATTAATATAGTATTTTACGATACAATTTTGACAATCTGATGTGTGGAAAAATAGATAGGGAAAAACGTCGCGTCCCTAACAACATATTCAAAAGATGAATCCAGAGGACATCCAGAGAATATTTTACATCCTCTGGACATCTTTTGAACGTGCGTACTGTTAGGGATATATATTCGTCGCGTGAGTCTTTTATAAACAATGCACAACCAAACCTAATCGACTCCGTCAAACTTTAAAAATAATAATAGAAATTAATAAAGCTCTAAATATTACAAATAATAATTAAATAAAATAAGAGCCGAACCAAGGTCATATCAGATAGAGGAAATTTATAAAGAAATTATAATTATTTGATGTATTATATGGACGTTTCAATCACTTCGGGTCATCGTCAGTAATTGAGAAAAATAATTTTGAAAATAATCAATCCAATGTAATCACGTCATAATGGCTAATAAATAATTAACAGCGCGATTATTTTGCTTTCTCGATCGAGAAAATAGCACTATCATCCCCAATGAGCAGACAATATTTTTGAAAATTTTTGGAAAACATTTTTATAAATAATTAAATAATCAAAAATTAAGTTCCCTTTTAATCATTAAAAAATGTTCATATTAACATTTACATAAACATTAACAACGTTTATATTAACATTCACATAAACATTAACAATATTTATATTAATATTTCAAACGAATATTATATTTTTATATAAATTATATAATTATATAAATTATATTTTTACAATTAATTGTACAACGTACAATTAATAAATAATAAATGTTAAAAATACATTTTAAAAATATTGTCTGCTTATTGGGTCGTGGGCATCGCTATCATTTGGGCTTTTATTTTTGTTGTCCGTTTTATTGCAACGCACTGGTTCGATTTTATCGAATGTCACGTAAGTTTCGCCACGCTGACCTATGGACAACACGCTAACGCGCTCGTCTATGGACCGTTCATCGATTATGTATCCCTGTCGAAGTGACCTTAAAAAAATCGCGCGCGACCCACCTCCGTCTCGTCGTCCTTTACGACTCGTCGAAAACTCTCCGATCATAAACAGACAAACGACGCGCCTAAAGACCAATAATCGTCTCAACGTGAATTATTTATTGCGACGCATGTCAAGGGAAACATCGCGTGTACTCCCCGATGAGATGCGCGTAACTTTAAAGCCCCCCGTTCAAAGTCGATATTTCTGTCTCCGTGTCGTGACGTTAATGATTAAGAAAACTATAAATAGACACACCTCGATTAAAAGATATTAAATATCATGTATGATAATAAATGTATTATATTTTATTACAGAGAGAGAAAGAGGAAAGAGAAGGACGTACAGATGCGTAGAGAAATTTTTTATATATCTACTGTGTCGGTTTCGATACTTGATCTTGAGGACCTCTGCGTGATAAAATTATAGTCACTCTCTCGGGGTCGGAATAGCGGAAGTTTGGGATCGTAAGGACTCGCAATGTCGCATATCGCCTGATACCAAACGTCTTCGAAGCGAGATCAACGACACTATTGCGCATCGGCGTTTATTTGCCAGATAACGATAACAACGTGGAGGAGGCCACGCGATCGGCGATCACGAGCATGACGGCTGATTCGCGCGGGTGCCGCGCGCGCGAATCATCTTCGGGTACAACGATAAACGCGAGATATTGCGGAGAACCAGAAATAAACGAATTTATTTTGGAGTGCAATCACCCTCGAAAAAGACGACGCATATCCCTGGCCCAATAAAGCGATGACAAAACGGAGGACGCGAGCGAGAAAGGAAGAAAGGAAAAATAGGAGCTTGTGCACAATGTCCTGTAATTATGTCACCCGAAAAGAAAACACAAGGTAGCACACACAATAAGAAATACTAAAAATGTTAATAAATCTAATAAAATCGTGCTATTGTAGAGAAATTTGATATTGAAAGAGAAAGAGTATATACTATATTATAAAAGTTATAATTATATATTTTTACAATTATAATAATTACATATATATAATTAATGTATACAAAAAAAAATTATGGGAAAATAATATGAGATCTTCACAATACAATATAGCTTAGGACACACACATATGAGTCATTGGATCTGCACAAAACGTGAAACGAAGAGAGGAATACAACGCACATCCGCGAAGATGCAGAAAAGAATAAAAGGAGACACCGAGTAAAAGAGAGGAAGAAAGAAAAGAGTTTACAGCAGATGACAAGAAGGAGATCCATAATGAAAAGATGGGGCCGTTCACGGTATGCGAAGAAGGAAAGAAAGAAGCAGATGAATCTGAGCGAAGGCCCCCGACGACGGATGCGACGTACACACGCGTACATCGGAGGTAGAAGAGGAAGGAGGCTGGAGAGTTTGTGCGTGACGCTCGAGGCGCGCCGTGACGCCATGACGTATCGACCGCGTTTGCCACGCGCGCTGACGTCACGATCACGGTCCGAGTCAGACTGGGAGCACGTGAACAGCACGCCTGCGATCACGCGGTCGCGGCCTGACCGGGACGCGACGATTGGTCCACCGTCGACGAGCCCCTCGCCGAGATTGGTCGCGCCCGCGCGCCGTGCGTGATCACGCACCGCGGTGCGGGCGCGGGTCGGCGCGTTGCCGAGCCAGCGCCGACCTGAGAAAGCTTCATTGCGCCGCGAGACGCCCGTCCGTTACGTACTACTGGTGGACCTGTCGCTCCACTTTTGCCAAAGAGGGCTCGGCGCTCCATATACGCTCTTTCTTTTTTT